TTGCTCCCCGCCTTCCTGCCGGCTGGGCGCCTGTGCCGTGCTCACCGTCCCTCGGCATCCTGCCCGTCGAACCCCACCTGTCTCTGTGCGCGCTTCGAAGGCTTTGCAGCTAAAAACAGCAACACGCATACACACCCACACACAGGCACAATCGTTGCGGCCTGCACGGATCCACCGCAAGTAGTGTGAGAGTCGGAGGCTCAACATGCCCCGGCACCTGTTTTCTTCTGCGGTGCTGTTCCTCCTCTGCGTGCTGTTGATACGCAGCGGCAGCTGTGAAAGTGCCAGCGCTGAGGAGGCGCAGGGTGAAGTTCGTCAGTGGGTGCCCAAACCTCAATCGTTTGCGAATGCCACCATTGGCTTGGGCGCCAAAGCGGACTCCGAGGGCGCAACGGGTTCGTTCCGTGTCCCTTGACTTGTTGACGTGAATGGGGAGACCGTCGTCTTTGCTGGGGCTCACGTGGGAGGCTCCGCTGTGGGTGTTGCTGCTGGCATTGCCGCAGGGGGCATCCCGGCTGAAGGGGCGTCAGCGGCGCAGGGCGAAAGAGTGATGGATGATGCGCTGACGGCGTACTTTCCGCAGGCGGCTGAGCCCGCGAGTGGAGGAGTCCCGCGTCTCATGCCGCCGACGACAATTGTGAACGGGAGCACAGTTTACCTTCTCCTCGGACAGTACGTCGCCGCGGGCTCTGTTCCCGCCAACGGGAGTAGTGCCCCCTACACGGAACTGCTGCTGGCAAAGGTGGCCTTCGACTCCAGCGCAAAGCTCAGTGCGCAGACACGTCAAATCCAGTGGGCCGACGCCTACTCCCTGTGGCCCTACTTCCCCACAACGATTTATTACAGGTCCATCGTGGAGGTGGTGGGCGGCGGCGGCACTGGTGTCGTGCTGGACGACGGGACGCTCACCTTCCCAGTGCAGGCCCGAAAGGCAGACGGGACGGTGGTCTCCCTCGTCCTGCAGTCGCGAAGGCCCGAAGAAGCGTGGGAGCTCTCGTGGGGCACGACCGTGAGCGGCTGCTCCAACCCCGCCATCGCCGAGTGGGACAGGAAATACGGGACCCTCTACATGGTCACCTCCTGCGACGAGGGCTTCTACAGGGTGGTGAGGTCCCGTTACTGGGGAGAGGAGTGGGTGGATGAGGACGTGGTGCTTTCCCGTGTGTGGGGCACCTCACGCGCCCGAAGAGGGAATGGCGTGCGAAGCGGGTTTGTCGTTGCCACCATTGGGGGAAAAAAACTGATGCTCCTCACGACGCCGGTGTATTCTGAGGGCAAAGACGGCAAAGCACAAGGTCGTCTGCATCTTTGGTTGACGGACAGGGGACGCGTGTACGACGTCGGGCCGATATCCGCCGCGGAGGAGGACGCCGCTGCCAGCTCCCTGTTGTACAAAAGTGACAAGGATGGGGAGTTGATTTCGGTATACGAAAGGAGGAAGAAGACGGGGGAGGAGTCGTACAGTCTTGTCTCTTTGCACTTGGCGGAGCAGCTGGAGCAGGTAAAGTCTGTGGTGAAGGGCTGGACTGCATTGGACACCGCCTTGCAAAGCTGCAAAACCAGCGGAAACCTCGACCCGCAAGGGAGGGGCATGTGCAGCGGCCCTCTTCCCACGGAAGGGCTGGTGGGGTTTTTGTCTGGGAAGTCAACTGGCGGCAAGTGGGAGGACGAGTACCTCTGCGTGAACGCGACAGTTCATGGAGCAACAACGAAGTTTACGAACGGCGTGACGTTCAGCGGCGCCGGGGCGGGGGCGGAGTGGCCCGTGGGGAAACTGGGGCAGAACCAGCCGTACTACTTTGCGAACAACAAGTTCGCCCTTGCGGTGACGGTGACGATCCACGCGGTACCGGAGAAGGACGGCGGCCCCATCCCTTTGCTGCGGGTGAAGATGGACGACGCAGCGAGCACTGTGCTCTTTGAGCTGTCGTACAACCATGAGCGGAAGTGGCTCTCCAAACCTCATCGCGGCGCGTCTGAGGAGTCTTTGGAGCAGTGGGAACCCAACCAAACCTACCAAGTGACACTGCAACTGGAAACAAACGACTGCTATGTGTACGTTGACGGGAGCAAGATTTACCATGGAACCCACGATGGCTCTATTTTCGACGCAAGCAGGATCTCGCACTTCTGCTTTGGGGCCGATGCCGGGGGCGGTGCGGCGAGCAGCCAACATGTGACGCTGGCCAACGTCCTGCTGTACAACGACCTGCTGGGTGAAGCTGCGGTGCAGAAGCTCAGCGACGGCAAGCCGATTTCCGCGGCCGGCGGCAGAGACGGACGGTTCCGCCGCCGAC